AACGCGTGGCGCGATTCTACTGGCGGCCGAACGTAGAGTTGCGTACATTCACCGGACCAAATAAAAGTTCCTTTAATCTTCTTTTTTAATATCGGAATATGCCAACGACCTCAAGATTAATATGAGTTGAAGGGAGGTAGGTTAAAAGTGCACTAGTCGAAGAAAATGTAAACTCGCTAAGGGTCGAGGATCTCTCACCTCTTGTCACTCGGCATGACTATACTCCTCACTTGCCACATGTCACTCATCACTCTCACTCATCAGTCATCAATCGGCATGTTTATACCTGTCACTTGCAATTCATCACTCATCATGACTATACACATCACTTATCAGTTGCCACTAATTAGCACTCGACACTCGGCATGACTCACTCGCCACTTGACCAATGAAAATCAACGTGTTGGTTATTCATATATGTTTTTATATTTTCAACTACATACTGTGCTACATACCGTTTATAATTGAGTATGTTTTTTATATAGCTTTAATGTAGCCCCATAATCTTATAAATAAATGGTCATAGGGTAATTAAAGAAGGAAGACGGAGAATACTTAGAATCACTCTCTTTCTCACTCTCACTTTTTCCTATTTTTCTATGTATTATTACGCTATGAAGCCTTATAAGTCTTGAAAGTAAGGTTCAAATATTACTCACGAATATATTTGAATTCAACATCCTAAAAGATGCAGTAATATGCCAAGGTCCCGAAACCAAGCATTGCAAACACTCAAGGGTGGTGACACTTTACAATGTCTAAGATGCAAATTCTTATACATACAACGTCACAAAACAACAAATCCAATTTTAAGGCACTATGGACCCTCTTTAAGATAGATAACACAACACTGTAGTTCTAGCGCCACGACATTGTGAACTCAACACTGATGCGATGTAGGTTCAATGTTACGTCACTTTAGAGGCATTTTCAGTCGGAAGAATTAGCATCGAGGTGCTACGGAAACAACACCAGGATTTTGCGAGTCAAGACAATTTTATCTTCATTTTTAAGAAGTTTATTCAATTAAAAGAGAAATAACTCGTGAGAAACTCTTGTATTCGCGTCTGGAGACGATGAACGTAAGTGAAAAGTGAAGATTTGAACAATTTCTTACATTTTTCATAGTGGATATCTTTTTTTTTTTATTCTGTTTTTGAGTTTTTTAAGTTAAATCCTGATGCTCTTCTCTACTGTTTTCTTCTTTCTTGTTTGTTTCGTTCTTGGTTTACTTCCCAATAATTCAAATAAATAAATTCAGTTCATTACAACTTACCTCTTGAAACAAAGGCTGCTGCAAACGGAAATCAAAGAAGAATTTGAACAGACTGATAAAGTATGATGCTCTATGAATATTTCTGCTCAAATGGGCCATATATATGAACTGTGCACTCACTCCATGATACTTGTATGACCTTGAAATGCTTGTAAGCAAGTTTCAACTGTTCACTTAGGCAGCAACCAACGGCCAACTGCTAACAGAAAATAGCAGTAGAAGCTTACAAATCAGAACTGCTTTCAGGCCCGGAAATTAATTCCATCAAAGATTTCATTGGTGAACTGTATCCATAAGCAACGGAATCCCTCCAGAGAGTCATTCCTGATTGAAACGGGAAAAAAATTCCAAAAATTTCATCTTGAATAGAAACTACTTACCTTATAGCTAAAGGAATGATGAAGAATGACAGGAGAAAAAAAAAAAACTCAAGAAGCATTTAAAGTACTAAGGGGTAGAGAACAAAACCTAGCCATGCAAAGTACCCAAACGTTGCAGCTAGGAAAAATGTCCTGCCGATGCTGTTAAATCTGGTTGGGAGGTTGATGGAAGCAAAAAAGAATCAGAATCACGAAGGAAAAATCCTCTAAAACGCTGAAGAATGGAGCTTACAAAACCTTACATGAACATGCAGAGCAGATTTCCCCACCCATGTAGAAAGGATCCCCAAGATGAACCAGTGAACCTACAATTATAAATTATATGTCCATAAGACAGAAATTTCTATGGTCAGATGAAAATAAAATATATTCTAAAGCATAAGAATCAAATAAAAAGGCACATAAAATGCCAAGATAAGGTGCCACGGAAATAAAATAGAAATATAGATATTGAGGGTCTCCAATTTTCATCTAATAGTAACATTAGCAAATTTCTAAGTGTTCACAAAATGGAGGTTCACTTCTTAGGACTCTACCTTTTTTTAAAGACATTTAGGTCAATTAAGATAAACTCATAGATACATCACATTCGTAAAACTCAACCCACAATTTCTTGGTTAGTAGCCAAAGCTCCCAACTGATAGACCAATATGAGCTATGTTTAGATCCCTACATTTATTTGTGTCGGCTTGAAGCAGGTAAATGTAACCACAATGTGGACAATTTTGAAATGCGAGAAATACATTGAGGTAAATTCATAGCTATGATAGAACGTAATGGATACATTATCAATGTGTAAGAAACTAGCTATAATGGAAACCCTCAGTCATGAGGCAAATAAACATGCTTGGTTTCAGATGACCCATATAACGATAAAATAAATTGCAAATAACGACCGATTTTCAGCTAAGCAATTTAAACATTGTATTTAGCATTTTGAACATATTTGTAGAGCATTTGTAGAGTAAATATGTTACAGAATATGAACTTAAACCATTCATGATTGCCCAATCAAAATAGGATAACAAAATAAACATCTGAGGTTAGTTCACCCGTAGCATAATTTTGTGTTATTTCTCACCCAGAGAAAAGAATGGAGAATCTACAAAATCCTATTTGTCGGTGGAATATGCAAAGTACAGGAATGAAGAAATTTAAAATCACAAACAATCTTTTTTTTTTAATGGAAATACTGTACTAATAGCACTGCATTTTAGGATAGAACAAAATACTGGAGATGTAAAAGAGAACAAATGCATATTTTAGGAGAAGGCGATAAAGAATGTAAAGTTAACTGAATTTCTAGGAAAATTAGACCTTTGGAAATCAAGAAAATAAGGATTAAGTACCACATCAAATCACGGATAAATAGAGCACGTGGAACCAAAAGGCCATTTCCAAGCATTGCAAGCAACATTGAGAAAGCTGATAAACCTCTGATGTTTTCTGGATTCAGATAGTTGGTCCACTGTTCATGACAAAACTAGTTAAGAGTTGAATATCGCAAGTATAATCCACATGAACAACATGAACAATGCGAATGAAGTATTCTAACCATTTGTGCAACGGGCATCCACATGAAGAGAAGAGTAGCAGTCCAACCAGATGTTGACCTTACAAATTTAGTTCCTTTCTCAGATAGTTTTCCAGCACGTGCCTGCAGGTCTTAGTGAGAGCAAGATCAGGAACTAAAGACATCATAAAATGTCCAAATAGTAAAAGATTAAAAGTATATTTGGAACCAATGGCTTATTAAATGTGGCGACAAATCAGCAATATTGAATGTGGCAGAAACATTATAATCACCCCGTAGATCAATTTTGTAAGTGTTATTATTGATACGCTTGATTACTTGAAATGGGCGTATACCTTTGGCTTAAGTTTGCCAAAAGGTCCTAGTGGAAAACCTTCACACGTAAGGCGAATAAATACAAGATCACCCTCCTTAAAAACAATGGGTTTTCTAGTTCTAAATGATTGTTTTTTATATTTGATATTTTGCTTCACAATCATTTCCCTCATATGTTTATGCAACTTTTAAATTGCTTTAACTCTCTTCTTGACCTTCAGGCCATGCTCGGCCATCGACGTAGAATGAAATGACTCCAAAGGAGTGATGGGGTTGCGCCCATACACCACTTCAAATGGACTACGGCCTATAGTTTGGCTAAGGTATCTATTATATGCAAATTCCCCTTGTGCCAACCCCTGGTCCCATTGCTGAATATTTTTGCCAACAAAAACATCATAATAGGTTGCCCAAACCGTTATTAACAAATTTAGTCTGATCATCGATTTGAGGATGAGCTGCCGAGCTAATTTAGTTCCCTATTTTTTACCAAAAAAAAATTCAAAAATGACTTAAGAATTTAAAATCCTGATTGAATATAATCGATCACAGAACACCGTAAAGTTGCACCACTTCCCTAAAGTATATGCTAGCGGCGTGGATTGTATCAAGAGTTTTGTTGCAAGGGGCAAGATGAGTCATCGTAGAAAAACATTATGTAATATTTGTTTTGCTTTGTACAGGTAAGACTGACAACAAAGTCCATGCTAATGTTCTTCCAAGGAGTATCGGCACAACATTGGTAAACATAATCTGTGTTTTGTTCTCAAGCCTTGGCCTGGTGGCAAGCATAGCATTGCTTGACATAACAGTCAACATTTCTTGTCAACAATGGCCAATAAAACTTCTCTTGTATAAGAACAAGTGTTTTATCTCTACTCAAGTGTCTGACCAAACCTTCATCAAGACACTTGAAAAGGATTGCTACATGGTTTGTCTCCCTCAAAATCTACAATTTGTTGCCCCAAAATAAATACCTATTTTCTATATGATAGAGATGATTCGCTAGCTTTTCAGCATGGAATTTTCCCAAATCCCTCTGAAATCAAAATCCCATGCAAATACATCCTTCAGCACCTCAAATCTAATTGCTTTGGATTGTAGTGCATAAAATAAAAACTGTCGCATTTGTGCTTTAGGATGTAGTGAACAGCAGAAAGAAATTCAATCCAAGAGGCATGCTTTCCATTTAATCAATTTTGATTGTTGGGGTACTTGAGTGCCCAACTATATGAAAATCATTACCGAATAAATAGTGACTTTAATGATAGGAGCTTGCACAATGGCATAAATTTTTTTTTTCCAGCGGGGAATATTTTAATCTACACAAGAGGCATGCCTTCCTTTCAATCTATTTTGATTGTAGGGGTATATTTAAGTGCCCCACGATATGGAAATCATTAGAAAATAAATATTGATTTCAATTACTAGGAGCTTGCAAAATGGCATAAATTTTTATTTATGGGGGAATAGTTTCTTCTACAAGAATTTATGCTAATATGTAGGGTTGACTACAAGAATCTTTTTTCTCCATTCTGTCTTATTAAGATTCAAATTCTCATTTAAATCTCATAAACGAATGTCAATTCTAATACTTTCTAACTAAGTCTTTTTAGGTCTACCTCTACCTTTCTTAAAATAGGTCAGATCTAATACATCTATTCTCCTAACCGAGTCATTTGAAGGCCAATGATCTAAGGCGACTCTCTCTAATCTTATATGCCACTAGAGCTATCCAACCTTTTCAGTATAAACTCATTCACATTCTGTCTCTAAGTGTAAAGCCACTCATCCACCTAAGCATCCTAATCTCCGCAACACTTAATGTAATTTTATGCTTCTTTTTTAATAGCCAACCATAAAGCATTGCAAGTCTCACCACCATCTTATAGAATTTTCCCTTAAGATTGAGGGGTACTTCTCTATCACACAAAAGGCCTGATGCATTCCTCCGCTTAAACCATCCAAATTGGATTTTACTAATAATATCAAAATCTATTTCAGCATCACTTTGAATAATGGACCCAAGATATCCAAAAAGTGTACTCTTTTTATTGACTTGGCCCAAGATATACTCAAATGAAAACCTTTTGACTCTAAGGTTAACCTCCATAATTAAAGTTTTCCTTCAACTCCTTTAGTCTTTTCAACAAGAAGAATATCATCAACAAAAAGTATACACCAAGGTGCATCCTCTTGCAAATGTCTAATAAGAACATTCATGATAACAACAAAAAGATAGTGTCATTAAATTTTTCACTGAAAAAAGTGACGAGATGACACCCTTGGCTAAGCACTACACTAATTCCACTTTGGATACATCACATTCTACTTGAAACACCGAACCAAAATCAAACAAGGTGAGAATTGGGATGGATATCACCCGTTGTTTAAGTTTTTAAAAAATTTTCAGGGCTTATTTTGTTCCAAAATCATTCACTCTTAAGGAACTTAGTCAAAGGTTCCACGATGAAGCTAAATTGAGTAGGCTAATTTCGCCAAACCATGTAAATCCTTGTACCTACTCTTCTAGCGTTTTCATTCTTGCTTGCCATTGCTTTTGTGCACAAGACTTTCCACAACAATTTGAGACTTTTTCTTAAGGATTCAAGCATTACCAAGGAACGCACACTAAAGAAAATGACAATGATAGTGTTAAGTATTGCTTCAGAGGAAAAACATGCCCTAAGTAAGACTAAATGTATAGAAAATGACAATTTGAGCATGGACAGGTATTTCTTAACAATTTAAACGCATCTCTTGCATGAATATTAAGATTTTTTATCACCTTAATATAGTGCGGTGTTGATTTATCCTCTGAATTAATAGGTTTCTTAAATAGTATAGATCAGAACCACGACTAACATAATATAAATTTATTTAGGGTACAATTGAAAGCCATCATAATAGAATAACTGCTAAACACCTAAAAAGATCACATATAAACAAATTAGGGATGATGAATCCAAAGGAAAAGGCAACCGAAGCTATATATGTCTTAAGACCTTTTTTGCATTCATCAAATAACACTCCTAATACCTCATAAAAGAATATAGCAAAATAAGATCAGTAATAGTGGAACATACCAACACGACAGCCACAAATGCAACAGCACAAGAGATGATACCAGGCGAAGTACTATTTGGGATGAAAGGGACAAATGTCGACCACATCACCTGAAGACCCATCGGATTTAAGAAGGGTTCTGAGATTATTAGCACATCATATTAGAAAAATCTCACAAATCTAACCAGACCAGAACTGAAAGTAAATTGACCTGAGGGAGAACAGAGAGGCCACCAACTGTAATGAAATCTTCCCAGAGAGTCCAAACCCCTTGATGAAGCCAACCAAAGTAATTCAAGAAGTTAATGAGAAGGCCAGAAGCAACAACGGCAGATGTAACCGCGAACTGCGGCAGGGGCATGGCCTCGGCCATGGCCAGCTGCACGATCACGACATAAGTCGATAAAACTCCAAGGGTTTGGACGATGACCGCCTCCGTTTCCCTCTTCTTAGCGAAGTACGACAACAATGAGAGGTTCCCCAATAAGCCTGTAAGCATTCCCTGTCGCATTTCACAGTTTCTTTAAAAAAAAAACTTAAAAGATACCGGACAAGTATGCTATGATCAAGGCGATCAAACACTCACGAGCCAAGGGACGGCGAAGAGCGCGGTCGTGTTTCCAGATAGGAGATTGCGGGAGTTAAGGATGATTTGGGGGAGCTGGAGGAGAAGGAACGGGACGTTTGCGACTCCGGCAAACTTGGCAGTCAGAGAATCCCATTCTTGGAACTTTAATCCCTGGAATGAATCGAGATGAATGAAGGACAGAAGAAGGAAGCATGAGAGGCGCCGGTTTCGTTACCTTGGCCGAGTAGGCCGTCGAGCCTGAGTCGGTGGCGGAAACCAAGAGCTCTGATTGCTTGCCGCAGTCAAAGAGAGGTCGATCGGGTAGAAAAGGCCGGTATCGGCTTCTAGAAGATTCGGAAATGAAAAACGGACAGAGGTGGGAACTTTGATGGGGAGAGACTGGTAAGTGACGTCGAAGAGCGGAACCTCTGAATGAGCATGGAAGATGCTGCCGTGGCCGGTATCTGGACACCGGCGGCGGCGGTAGCACCACCGCAGCGCAAGCCATCAGTGTTCGTGTGCCGAAGGGAGCTATGCAGCACTGTAGAGCGGGTAGTGATGGAAGCTGGGAGGAAGCGGATGGGTCGCCGTCGTCGGGGGCTGGTAGCACGAGATTTGACGACTTTCATTTGCCGCGTGGCAGTAGATCTCGGGTCTGGGACAAGAAGGGACACGTGAAGGATTACTAAATGGGAATGCGGGTCGTTGGACACTTGCACTTTTTATTAACCTGATAGGTTATTAAATGTAGTTTTATATCCCACCGGGCTTATCTGGATCCAGTAACCTCCTAATATATTTTTGAATCCCCTTTCCTGCTGCACTACTTTAAATGTGGAGAAAAATTTTTTTTGGGTAAACCGGGAGCAAAGAAGCCCATGTATTAAAAATAAAATTCAATTACAAGTAAATCTGTAAGATAGCAAAACAAAAGAAAATCTAACAAAATTATCCAAGTGCCAACAAAAAGGCAACAATGATAAAATACAATCCATAAGACTCATAGAAAAAAGACTAGAATCCCGTCATCATATTGATCAGCATGAAATCCTCGCAGCCGAGGCGGTGGCTCAGATTGCCAAAGGTAAACTGGGCGCAAAAATAGTAGTTGAGAAAGAAGTTTGACCAACACAGAACCTCCAGCCAACGGCATAAATTTCATAATACAAGCCTGGTTGCCACATGGGCCATCCATAGCTAGAATGGATGGATCTGGCCTTGCTCATCATCGTCGGATTGTCAAAAATCCACCAACCGGAATAGCCGAGAAGCCAAAAATGGCGTTGCAGTATCTCCAGAATTTGAAAAAGCATATCACCTATGCCAAATTGATAAAAGCAGTCAGCAAAGATCAACCGCAACCTCCAAAATTTTCTTCCCATGTGCAAATTATAAAAATCAAAACTCGAGTAGAAGATCTCTACTCCCAAAAGTAGCTGGAAGCCCAGCCAGGAAGAATGATTACAGACATCCAAGAAAAATCGGAAATCCCACAAAAGAGAAGGCAACCCCAAGAAAATCAGATTCCAGAAAACCTCAGTAACAGCGAATCTTTGTTTTTCCATTTGAAAATTTTGTGTCGAATAGCATAAGAGATATTGCATACAATCCTCATTGAATTGATTCTTGAATTAGTAAATAATGCAACTAACAGTTAAGCAGTAAAAATCTTTTTCTGATCTACTATATAACACATGATGCTCAATGAAATCAAAGATATGTGATATAGTCGTGCTCAGAAAAGAGCAATTTAGATCCGGCAGCATGTACTTAAGGATGTTAAAAGAAAAGTCACAAGCAAAAACAAATGATTGTGATTTTCAGAGTTGCAAAGGCAAAAAGAGCATTCAAGAGGAACTTGAATTCTAAGCAGTAAATTATCAGCAGTTTTAAGTTTACCAATCATCGTCATCCACATATAGCAAGCATATTTAAGAGCATGTTTTTTGTGCCATATAGAAGTATACCATTCAACCTTTGGCAAATGAGAATAAAATTGATCAATAAAATATTTGAAGGCCAACTTCGGAGAACCATTCCAGAGGAATTCAGACTTCTCTTTGATCTCAATGTTAGAAATGGCAACAGATAGATCAGTGGGAATAGAAATGGGAAGAAGCCATTTACCATTCATGATAAAATCTTTCACCATTTTATCACCAAACTCCATAATATTATAGGAATCTGAAATCACAGTGCCATTAAGCCACGGGTCCCACAGCATAGATAATGTACTATCATGAGCCACAGAGAGTGTGATATTATCTTTAATCTTAATGGCAGTAGCAGTAATTTTTTTCCAGAACTTAGATGCATTGGGGGGGGCAATTTCCAAGGGGATATATATTTAGCTTTATACCAGTCACTTAAGAGATTGTGAGATCTATAAAATCTACCAATAATAGAGCAAAAAACCTCATGATAAAGAGCATCAACAGAAGGAATACCAAGCCCACCAAGGCATTTAGGGAGAGTAACCTTAGACCAAGCAATAAGATGCAACTTCCTCTCAGTCAGGTTGGTATGGAATAAGAATCTCGAACAAAGTTTGCTTATGGCAACACAATAAGCTTTAGGTATGATAGATCCCCTAATCAAATATGCAATTTTATTTGAAATGTTGAATTTGAGAAATTGGAACTTGCCTGCAAAAGAGAGAAATTTATTTTTCCAACCAGCAAGAAGAGTAAAAACTCTACTCAGCAGTGGTTGAAAGTGAGAAGTTTTAAGCCTTTTAGGAGAAATAGGAATGCTCAAATAGATGAAGGAATAATTAATTTGATGGATTCCTAGCTCATCACAAATAAATTGCTTCTCATGAACATTGCTGGAAAAGATAATGGAGCTTTTTGAAGCATTGACATGAAGTCCAGAGATATAACCAAAGTGTTATAAACATCTGCTTAACCCAACTGCATTATCCCGAGTGGCCACTCCAAAAATCAGGAGGTCATTAGCATACATCAGATGATTAATGTGATTATCTTTAAAGGTAATACCCTTAAAGCAACAAGTGTTGGATGTGCTGTTAAGAATATTAGAGAGCCCATCCATGATAATACAGAATAAAAGAGGTGAGAGAGGGCAACCTTGACGGAGACCATATGTGAAATTGAAGAACCCCTCAAGGGAGCCATTCAAACAAACTGAAAAATGCACATCCAAAATGCACCCTTTAATCCATGAGACAAAAACTTCAGGGAAGCCCTTCTGAAGAAGCCCAGCAATTAGGAATTCTCTAGAGACAGAGTCAAAAGCCTTTTTAATATCAAGTTTTGCACAAAAACTCTTTTGAGAACTCTTGAAATCTCTAAGGATCTCAAAAGCCAGAATGATATTATCTGTTGAGCACCTATTAGCAATAAAACCCGATTGGCTTTCATGAATAATATAGGGGAGAGCAATTTTGAGTTTGTTAGCAATAACTTTGGCCATAATTTTGTAAAAAACATTACAGAGAGATATAGGCCTAAAGGTATTAATATTTGAAGCATGAGAGCATTTAGAAATCAGAATAATAGCAGTGACTTTAACCCCTTTTGGAAGAGATCCAGTAGAAAAAAAGTTGTTAACATCATTAAACACTTGAATGCCAATGACATGCCAAGTTTTCCTATAGAAAGCATAGGAAAAGCCATCAGGACCGGGGGCAAAATTCTCTTTACCATTAAAAACTACAGCTTTAACCTCCTCAAAGGAGATAGGAACCACCAACATATTGTGCAGAGATGTGGGGGAACCATCATACCAAAGGGAATTTGAAGAGGGGCTTCTAAGGAAGAGTGAGGAGAGTTATATAACTCCTTAAAGTGATTGACAAAAGCCTTAAAAATATCAGCAATAGCATAAAAATGTCCCTCATGGGTAGATATCTCCTTATTGCAGTTCTTATTGTTCCTGCTCCTAAGCTTGGCAAAAAGAAAGCCAAGATCATCTTCACCATGGGTAAGCCATAAGGCTTTAGCTCTTTGAGATATGAGATTGTAAAGAAGCAAGATTTTCATTAATGCTCTTCAGACTTTGGTTAAGCTCTATGTTAAGAGGCTGAGCTTGAATCTCAAGAAGACAATTATGCTGCTTGTTCTTAAATTCAAGAATAGAACTAGAAAGAAAGGAAGAGGAAGCCCAAATCTTGTTCTTCAAAGCCCTTTTAAGGCACTGAAGACTACGATAAAATGCGAAAATTGGACTTCTTGAAGTCCTAGTAGAAAAAGCAGAAAAAAACATCTTCTCAAAAACCTTCCAAGTCAATCCAATAATTTTTAAACATAAACCTAGCAGATATAGGTTTAGTATTAGAAGGTATGAAAATTAAGGGTGAATGATCCGAGCCGAGGGGAGGATCCACTTTATAATAAGCAGTAGGAAAGTAATCCAGTAAAGCAAAATTGACCAAGACTCTATCAAGCTTAATGTGGATAGGGTTATCCACCCTTTAGTTAAACCAAGTGTAGAAAAGACCAATAGAAGAAAGATCTTGAACACCATAATTAAAAATCATATTGTTAAGCTCTCCCATTATGCTGTCAGAAAGGCTGGAGCCACCAGCTTTTTCAAATTCAGATCTACAGCAATTAAAGTCACCAAGAATTACCCAAGGTTGATCCCGAGGGGGATTAAGTCAACCAATTGATTCCATAAACTTCTACGATCCTCCAAGCTGTTAGAGGCATAAACCACAGAAATATATATAGGGGGAAAAGAGCCCGCATATAGAACTCCATGAATGAGTTGTGGATAAGTAGAAATTTGATTGAAAGAAAAGGCAGAAGTGTCCCATTTAAGCCAGATTCTTCCAGGGTAAGAGTCTCTAAAATTGTTGCAGCTATCCTCATTCTCAATATTATAGTACAAAAACTAAGAGTCTTCAGCGGAAGTTGGTGAGATTTTGGCTTCCATAATACATAAAAGTTTTAGATCATGAGAGTTGATCAAAGACTTGTAAAAATGAACCTTGTCAGGGTTGTTGAAAGCTCTAACATTCCAACTAGCAAAGGTTGGCAAGGACATTAGGACTTTGATGGTTTGGCCTTCTTGGCCGATTTTCCCTTTGGAGGTTTAGACTTATTTGAAGATTTACCTTTGTCCACTATGGGAAAACACGCGAATACCGTCAGATTTTCCAGCAGAAATTTTTGCGCCGGTACGAATGGCGCAGGTAACGGCGGAATATTCCTAAATATTATGACGGAAAACTTACAATGCATTTGCCGGCGCATAATATGAGGGAAACCTTCCGGCGTCCCATGCGCCGGTAAATGCGTCGGTAAAACGAGCTCTGAACCGGTTTCGTCGCATGTTACGGCGGAAACTATTTCCGGCGTTTACTCCGCCGGAACGTCCGCTGGTGAAAGCCCTATTTTTCGACACCGAGACCCTCTGGTCGCTCATTCGTTTCCTTCCGTTCTCTCACCTCGCGTGTTTCGCCCGTCGCCGTTCGTCGCTCGCTGTGGATTGACGTCGTCGACGGTCACCGGAATTCTCCATCGACGGTCACCGGACTTCGCCGAGCATCCTTTCCTCTCTTTCCTGCTCGCATGCCGCCGAGGGTCCGCACCGCCGAGGGTCGCTCTTCGCCGACGAAAGGTATTTTATTTCGTTTTTTTTTTTTCCTATTTTGGTTGGATTACATATAGGATCAACCTTAAGTCCATATCTTTTTGCTTTAGTCATGGA